TTCGAACCCGCCACCTTAGGTGTATGTGGCTGGCGCCTTAGCCACCTGAGCCACAGACGCTGAGCCACTTCCCTTCTTTCTTGATAAGAAACTCAGATTTTGTTTTTCAGGCATATTTATTGTGCCTTGAATAAGGATTATACTTATCATTCTCCCTTATAGCTGGGAGTCATCACTTGAATAAGATCTGATCCATGAAGATGTAACTGCAAGTATTGGAAGAGACTACTGGGAAGTCTCCTTAAAGGGAAAGGAGTGCTCCCTTCTCTCCCAGTTTTCTGCTATCTAGAATGCAGGCAGAGTAGCCAAAGTGTGGCATAAACATTTTGGTGAAGTGTTGGTTAGGCCACGTCCATTTATGACCTTGTAGGGTGGTTTCTAGGAATGCAAGTGAAATCTTTAGCATAGATCAAATACATGCTTAATTAAAGCTGGCTGTTATTATGTACTGTACTAATAAATGCTGTTATGTCATATGTCTCTAACTGGGTTCCTAGTCCTTCTGCCTCTGTGTCCCTCACCCTGCCCAATCTAGCACTGATCACTGATAGGGAGGAGCATTGAGGGGAATGTGGGCGGAAAGTCAGGTTTGTATTGGGGGTTCAGCTTGTAATTTTTATTGTTCACTACAGAGGGAGGATGATTTGATGTGAGATTTGTGTTATGCTTTTCTTGTTTGTTGGTTTAGTTGGTTTAGTTTGGTCTTAGTGATTTCCATTGGGAAAAAAATTCAGAATTAGTGTCATGCTGGAAGGTGGCCTGCTCATTTTCCCAGAGAACAAAGTTCTGACCAGTGGGGATTGAGAGAGGATGGGAAAGGGCAAACTCTGACATGTGTGCTGCAAGGCAAGTGGTCCAAGGTTGAGCCTTACTTTGTGCTGCTCCAAGGGACAAGACTGGAGTGGAACATGGAGACCATGTCGGATTTTGATGGTTCCCCAATCTTTACCATTTTCTTAAGACAGTGGACTTGGGCTGGCAGTGAGTGGGCCCTCTCAGGTCTGCTCCTATTCAGTTGCATGAATCACAAACTCAGTATGATTTTTTTGTGAGTAAATAATCTACTGTGTGAGCTAAGGAAGTATGAAATAACTTCCCCTGAAAGAGTCAAACATTATGGACCATTATAAAAAAGTTGCAGGAAAAAAAAAAAAAGTTGCAGAAGTTTTTTGTTGATATTGTTGCCAAATTTGGTGTGAGCAAAACAACTATAAGAGATTAGGAAAAAATGTCAATAATCTGGAAATTTTGTGATCAGTTTGCTTACTTTGTAAGTCACTTTATCTTTACAAGAAATAGGAAATTGGGTGGCGCCTGTGGCTCAGTGAGTAGGGCACCGGCCCCATTTACCAAGGGTGGCGGGTTTGAACCCGGCCCCAGCCAAACTGCAACAAAAAAAATAGCTGGGCATTGTGGCAGGCACCTGTAGTCCCAGCTACTCAGGAAGCTGAGGCAAGAGAATGGCCTAAGCCTAAGAGCTGGAGATTGCTGTGAGCTGTGATGCCATGACACTCTACCAAGGGTGACAAAGTGAGACTCTGTCTCTTAAAAAAAAAAAAAAAATAGGAAATTATAAAGAACATATTGTAGCTACAGTTTATGCCAGAAACCAAAGAGAGGAAGACACAAGCTGTCAGGATATCTTTAGCTGGTGCCAGAAGGTTGCCAGATAAATGCACATTTGTATCTTCAAATATTTGTGGTAAATAATATTTTTAGTATGCATATTACTATAATTACATGCTAACATATAGTATTATTATGTATCTAGTATTTTTAAAAATGAATTTCCAGCTTGAACCATTAACCAGCCAATTACTAATAGTAGGTTTGTTTAGACTGTACCAGTGAATGGAGTTGTTCATTATGCTTTGTTGATTCCTGGAAGACTGGTCTGCCAGCTTTGTTTCCTAAGATTGGAAATGCAACATACAACTATGTTAATAGCTATGTTAACACTGTTACTGAAATAACCAGTATCTTCAGATTCCATTTACAATGGAATGTCTTCGTATAGTCAACTGACCTTCTTTCAGATTTTTATTTTTTATTTTTTTAGAGACAGAGTCTCATTCTGTTGCCCTTGGTAGTATACTGTGGCATCACAGCTCACAGCAACCTTCAGCTCTTGGGCTTAAGTGATTCTCTTGCCTCAGCCTCCCAAGTAGGTAGGACTACAAGTGCCCACCAGAATGTCCGGCTATTTTTTGTTGGCAGTTTGGCTGGGGCTGGGTTCGAACCCGTCACTCTCGGTATATGGGGCTGATGCCTTATTCACTGAGCCACAGGCGCCAGCCCTTCTATGAGATTTTTAATCCTGAGGTTTTACTTTGCCTTCTGAATACTCTGTAGGCATAATTGGAATTGTGGATTGCTCTATTTCATTGGGAACTCAAAGACAACCAGAATTGGTCTGAGCTAGAATCCAGATGAGGGGAGTGTGGGAAACAGGATTGGGAAGACTTGATGGGAAGCTGGAAAACCTTAGGTCTTGCTGTTTGATTGAAATGTTTCGTATTCTATGCATTAGGCACTATGATTCAAACAAAAACAAAGGGAAGTCCTTCTGAAGCAGGTGACCTTTTAACTCTGTATGATTTCAGAGTTCTGCTTAATTGTTGCCTTCTATTCAAGTAGATAGTTGAAAATTTATTATGCTAATCCAGCAGCAACACACAACTTAAAAATCACTGGTTCTCTTGTTTCACAGGTGTTGGGGCGATGTTTCTTGACAGTGGTGCAGGTCCATTTCCAGTTCTTGACTCATGCATTACAGAAGGTCCAGCCAGTGGCTCACTCTTGCTTTACCGAGGTGGTTGTGCCAGAAAAAAAGAACAGCAGCAGTGGCGGTGGTTTATCTGGCACAGGACACACACCTGAACTGGAGGAAGCTGTTCGATCCTGGCGGGGGGCCGCCGAGGTAACCCTGGTCTTGGGGAAATTGGTGCCTAGTGTTCAAATAGGAGAGGCTCCCGAGGGCCTTTGCCTGTTGGTTTTCAAAAGAGCCCTTTCATTTACAAGTGTAAGCTTTAAATTGTTACTATTAGCTTATTCATCTAACAGTTAATGTCTCTGTGAATGCCCGCTTTGTTCCAGGCATGTGCCAGGCACTAGGGTGATAACCTCCACTCATAGTCTGGTGGAGGCAAGTGCGCCTACACAAACAGGGTTAAGGGCACTGTAATGAAGAAGTGCAGGACCCTCGGGAAGGGCTTGTCTCTTAATGCAGGAAAGCTGCTAGGAAAAAGGACCAGGGAGAAAAGGCTGGCGCCCAAGTCAGGAAAGACAGGGTGGAGCTGTCTGCGGAGAGTAAGTGGGCAGCCAGGCAGGCAAGCAGCAGTGTTTGGCAGGCTCCACAGCCACAAGGGAAGTTCTGAACACTTTTTTTTAATATAAATTTGTATCTTTTTTTTTTTTTTTTTTTTTTTGAGACAGAGTCTCACTTTGTTACCCTTAATAGAGTGCCATGGCATCACAGCTCAGAGCAACCTCCAGCTCTTGGGCTTAGGCAATTCTCTTGCCTCAGCCTCCCCAGTAGCTGGGACTACAGGCGCCAGCCACGAGGCCTGGCTATTTTTTTTGTTGCAATTTGGCCAGGGCCGGGTTCAAACTCGCCACCCTCGGTATATGGGACCGGTGCCCTACTCACTGAGCCACAGGGGCCGTCCTGAACACTTTTGATAGCCAAATCATTCTCTTTAGAAGTACTTGGCATCTTTGTAGCTTTTTAATTCTTTAAGGTTCTTACGTGCTCAAACAGCACGTCATTTGTCGGTTGCTTTACTTATGATTTGGGCGGTTCCCTGGTATTACTTTATTTGACTTTATGAAGTCTTTCATATTTTGGAAGATTGGCTATTCCCCAGCACAGCAGATGCTTGTAAAATCTATGTGTCATCAGGAGCCAAACCAAGAGATTGGAGGTAGAGATAGCATTGGTCTGGGATGGTATGGCTTAGTGATGAGGAGTGGGAAGCAGCCATCAGGGAGAATCACTTGGAAGATTCTCCTTCATGGTGACAGCCTTGTGACTGAGGGGACTTGCCACAGTGGTGAGCCAAGGACACTCCTGAGCCTCTCCAGTGGAAGATTCTAGCCTGGCATGGGATTGCTTTTCCTGTCGCTCTAGTGTGGCACTCTCTGTGCCTTTGCCACAACCAGAAGAATTTAAACTTGAATGTGAGCCAGTCAAAAACAGCTCTAAAAAAGTCTTTCTTAAAAGGACTTCACCTATAATCAATGATGACAGATTTCTTTTTTTTAATGATGACAAATTTCTTAAACACATTTTAATACTCCTTTGTTTCCAGTAAGAAACAAAGCAAAAAATAAACCTTCAAAGTTGAGATTTTAACTAGGACTTAACTGCTCCATTTTACAGGTGTATAGTTTATGAATAATATATTGATTCATATGTAATGTCTACTTTCAGCTTTATGCTATTCTGCTACATTGTTGTCTTCTGAATTTCCATTTAGTCAGTTTTTCATGTTAAAGACTTTCAGGTTAAAGGCCCAGAAATGCTAACTGGAGATTATTATGGGAGTGGGACCTGTTTGCTTCACTGAAGATGGCTTGGCCATCTGTATCTTGTCGTCTGGTTTTATAGCTCTTTGGCTGCTGGATCTAGCCTTCTGACTATTGATCTCATACTTAGAAACTCTAATACCTGGCTCAGTCTTTTCCACTTTGCCTGCTGCATTCATCCAGGCTGAGAAACCACCCTGCAAGAGGCCTCCTGGTGCCCCCTTGACCTCCTCACCTTCACCTTTTCCCCTGCCAAGTTTAGTCCATCCAGGCCTTTCTGTCCTCCTCCTATTCCATTTGCTTCTAGCCAGTGACCCCACTCCATGCTGCACTGAGAAGATAGAACCCACCTGACATCAGCTCTTCCTCACATGACCAAAATACTACTGCCCACTCCCTGCCCAACTTCACACCCATCTTTTCTTCCTTCTCGTGACAGCAGAGAAGGTACCTGCTGTCCAGGCTTCTCCTGTCCAGGCTTGCCGTGTTCCCACGTCGCCCCCATTCTCAAGGGCCCAGCTTCTGCAGTAGCACCCTGTGTTTTCTTTGCCTCATCCTCAGCTTCTTCTCACCAGTACACAAAGATGCAGCCAACAGGAAAATCCACCCTGTCCTGCCCTATGTCTCTGCTCTTTTCACAGCCAGCTTCTTAGAGTAGCTTCTTCTCATCTTTCATTTCATTCTAAAAAATAATTATTATGAAGCATTTCAGGCATATAGAAAATGGAATCTTAACTTTTCACCACATTTACTTCATGTTCTTTATATATATATATTTGTTGTTTCTATACTTTTCCTTTTTTTTTTTGAGACAATCTCAAGCTGTCACCCTGGGTAGAATGCCATGACATCACAGCTCACAATTGTTGTTGGGCAGGCCTAGGCTGCTCAGGCAAACCGGCCAGCTCAGGTGTATGTGGCTGGCGCCTCAGCCACTTGAGCTACAGGCGCTGAGCCTATACTTTTCAATTATTCTTTTTTTTTATTGTTGGTAATTCATTGAGGGTACAAAGGACCAGTTTACACTAATTGCATTTGTTAGGTAAAGCCCCTCTTATAATTGTGTCCTGTCCCCAAGAGGTGTGTCACACCCCTATGATCCCCCAGCCCCCTCTCTTTGTCCCTCTCCCTGCACCCTCCTTCCCCCACCCCTCACTGTGCGCTAGGTCATCAATTGCCCTCATGTCAGAATTGAGTACATAGAATTCTTTTTTTTTTGAGACAGAGCCTCAAGCTGTCCCCCTAGATAGAGTGCCGTGGCATTACAGCTCACAGCAACCTCCCACTCCTGGGCTCAAGCGAGTCTCCTGCCTTAGCCTCCCAAGTAGCTGGGACCACAGGCGCCCGCCACAACGCCTGGCTATCATAGAATTCTTACTTCTCCATTCTTGTGATGCTTTACTAAGAATAATGTGTTCTACTTATATCCAGTTTAATACAAAAGATGTTAAGTCTCCATCTTTTTAATGGCTGAATAGTAGTATTTCATGGTATACATATACCACAGTTTGTTAATATATTCCTGGGTTTGTGGACATTTAGGCTGTTTCCACATTTTGGCAATTGTAAATTGAGCTGCGATAAACAGTCTAGTGCAAATGTCCTTATGATAAAAGGACTTTTTTTCTTCTGGGTGGATGCCTAGTAATGGGATTTTAGGATCAAATGGGAGGTCTAGTTTGAGTTATTTGAGGATTCTCCATACTTCCTTCCAAAAAGGTTGTACTAGTATTAGTTTACAGTCCCACCAGCAGTGTACTAGTGTTTTCTTCTCTCCACATCACACTAGCTGTTCTTCATATATTTTTAACAGAAAAAAATTATAAATCCAATGGAATCCCCTTTGTACCTCTCTACTATCTTATTGACATCCCCTCCTCTCTAGAGATAACCTTTTCAAATGCAAAGTCTGTGACTCATGGGCATAGTTTTACTACATATGCATGTAGTAAATATGATACAAGGTATTATTTTGCACAATTTGAAACTTTATATAAATGTCATCATTCAGCTCACTGAAATCTGGCTTCTGCTCCTACAGGGGAACACACTTCTTTTTTTTTTTTAATTGAGACAGAGTCTCACTTTGTTGCCCTCAGTAGAGTGCTGTGGTATCATAGCTCAGAGCAACCTCCAACCCTTGGGCTCAAGTGATTCTCTTGCCTCAGCCTCCCTAGTAGCTGGGACTACAGGTGCTCATCACAACGCCTGGCTATTTTTTGTTTGTTTGTTTGTTCAGCCCGGGCTGGTCTCATACCCACCATCCCCAGTGTATGTGGCTGGTGCCCTAACCGCTGAGCTGTGGGCACCCCCAGGGAACACAGCTTCTCTTATCAAGGTCATTGGTGCCTGCCTTCTGTGTTTTCAAACTCAAGGAATCCTTTTTGCTCCCTTCACCAGCCCAGAGTAACAGGGAGAGAATTTCCCCCTTTGGAAGTGCTCTCCTTGTGGCATCCAGGAACTGGGCTTTCTTTCCTCTTGAGCAGTCCTTTCTTCCTTTACTATCTGTTCTTCCTCAACTTTTTTTTTTTTT